AGTATTTGCAAAAGAAAAACATACAATCTATTGTTATATGGCAAATTATGGCCTAGTATTCTTTATCTTTGGTACCGTGTTTCCCTGGAAATAAGACAGGGTCTTATTTTCTGTTGTCCCACGAAATATGGCCTTGGGCTTATTATAGGGGGAGGGCTTATTATTTTGGGGTTGCCAGGCAGCTGCTCCCTTGCGAGCGGGCTCCCGAAGAGCCGGGCACAGCCTCAGGGGTGAAGCAACCATGAGGTGACCACGCTCACGAGCAGCCGCCCAGCAAACCCCCTCTCCAGCCGGGCAGAGCACCATTCGCTGACCTAGGGGATATCCCTAAGGCGCCAAGCTACGTGGCACTCTGCCCCCCACCCAGCTCCCGCGGCTTGGCACATTAGGGATATCCCCTAGGTCAGCACATGGAGCTCTGCCCGGCTGGAGAGGGGGGTTGAGTGAGCGCCTGTTCCGCTCCAGCAAGCAAGCCTCCCAGACTCAACATGCCCTGGCCCAGCCACCGCCGCACTCCAAGCATAACTTCTTCTCCGGCTTCAAAACTCTAAAACTCGGCTGCCGAGTCTTCCAGCAGCAGCCACTCGAGGAGTGCTCTCTATGGTTGTGAGCTGGCTGCTGGACAGAGTGTCTTCCGGACAGATAGTCTTCCAGCAGCCAGCCCACAACCATAGAGCACACTCCTAGAGCGCCCGTGCTGGAAGACTCAGCAGCCGAGTTTTGGAATTTGGAAGCCGGAGAAGAAATTATGCTCAGAGCGTGGCGGCGGCACCCTGCAATGAGAGCTGGGCCAGGGCATGGTGAGGCTAGGAGGCATGCTTGCTGCAGGCAGAACAGGCGCTCGCGTAACCTGTCTTTCCAGCTGGGCAGAGCTCCATGCACTGACCTAGGGGGTATCCCTAATGTGCCAAGCCGTGGGAGCTGGGGGGGTAGGAAGAGCACCATGTGGCTTGGTGCCTTAGGGATACCCCCTAGGTCAGGGAATGGCACTTTGCCCGGCTGGAGAGGGGGTTTGCTGGGCGGCTGCTCGTGAGCGTGGTCACCTCATGGCTGTTTCGCCCCTGAGGCTGTGCCTGGCTCTTTGGGAGCCCGCTTGCAAGGGAGCAGTCGCCTGGCAATTCTCCCCCCCCCCCGGGCAAGGTAGAACGCCACTCCCCAACCTAGCCGTATCCCAAAGACGCCAAGCAATGTGCGCACCTTCCACCCTGGCTCCTGTGGCTTAGCGTCTTCGGGATACCACTAGGTCAGTGAGCAGTGCTCTGCCAGGCCGGAGGAGGGGGTTGTCCAGGGGGCTTATTTTCAGGGGTGGGCTTATATTTTTGCCCATGCGAAAAATGTGGCAAGGCGTTAGTTTCAGGACAGGTCGTATTTTCAGGGAAACACGGTAGGAGATAGCAATAATATAATATTTACATATATAAAGGATGAACCAAATAAACAAGATGGAGTAATATTTTTAAAAGAAAAACTTGAAAAGATCTGGACAGTACTGTAGTGCAAAAAGATTATCCAATATTTTAAATTTGTTTTCCAATTTTGGAAATTAATGTTATCATTTTTGCTTAATATTAATGATGAATATATATTTAACACATATGAGAAATAACATGGAGGAATCCAACTGTTATCTATATGTTTGAGAAGAAACTGCACTTTCAGCAAACCCTCCAGTTCCACTGTTGATGAGTGAGTACATTTTTATTCCAGTGTTTCACCCCAGATTTAAATTACTCCACTGACTCAACCACAATAAATCTGATTTGTAACCCCATTTTTAAGTTCCAGAGTATCACCTTCTTAAATCAATATTTGGAGGTAATCATTTAATTCTAAATAGCACCACTGAAGATCGATATTGCTGGAAATCACTGGGAAAAAACCCATTAAATAATATATTATTTAATTTTCATTCCTAGTTAAATTTTGCCCTTAGAAAAGAAATAATATTTTACTTTTTAAACGAAGTAATCTTCACATAGAAATCATACCCGCATTGCTTCTTGAATATGATCCTGTCGTACTAGATCAGCTGATCGATCCATATACCATTTCAAACAGCGGATGAGTTCTCTGAATAAAAAAAAAACACATTTTTTTACAGACATTTCAATAGGAGAGATGCTCAAAGTGACAGATTTTTCTGAAATATATCAATATCTATGTCTATACTTAAATCTCTCTATTTATATGCTACATGTGAGTATATGTATGTGTATGTGTTTGTATATGTGTGTGTCAGGGGTGGGTTCCTGCCAGTTCTAACCTCTTCTATAGAAGAGGTTCCACAAATCTACAATGCCGTTTAGAACTGGTTCCAGCTCTCTCCCCCCGCCTGTCCACACATCATCAAGATGAAGAACGAGAGGAGGAATTCTGGCAGTTGAAGTCCACAAGTCTTAAAGCTGTCAAGTTTGAACACCCCTGGGTTTTTTTTCTAAAGGTTTAGGGGTGCAAGGGTCTTGTAACTTGACAGCTTTAAGACTTGTGTGCTTCAAATGCCAGTTTCTGAGAAAACATTTTGGTTGCTAAGCAAGAACATTGTTAAGTGAGTTTCATCACATTTTACAAGTTGGCCATGCCCACCCAGTCACATGACTGACAAGCCATTCCCACCCGATCACATGCCCGGCAAGCCACTCCCACCCAGTCACATGCCCGACAAGCCACTCCCACAAAGCAGGCCACGCCTACAGAAGAGGTTCTAAAAAATTTTGAAACCCACCACTGGGGTGTGTGTGTGTGTGTGTGTATAAATGTATGTTACAATAAATTAAATAAACAAATGATGGTTTAACAGCATAGTTTTGATCTATAATCATCTATAATCATTTCAGTGACTAGGATTTTGCTCCATTTTTAACCCTTCGCTATGCAGATTCTATAAACTATTCTCTGTGAGAGCTTAGTATTTACAAAAACCCATGCAAATGAATATGCTTTTCTAAAAATTACTGTGTTGATATTAACATTTACGTAATAAACTGGCCTCCATAAAGAGATGACTTACTTATATGCTAAAGCTCCTGCAAAGTGCTTCTGAATATAAGTATCAATTACAGGTCGAAAATGAAAATATTTGCTATCACGCAAGAGATTTATGATAAACACCTGAAAGAAAAAGAGAAAAAAAGAAACATGTTTAGGAAGACAAAGATAACTAAATGAGCACATGAGTTTGTGTATAAGGGCTTGAATAAATGATATTTAATTATCTTGCATAAGGATGTTTCATGACAATTGTAACTTATTGCTCCATTCTGACTCAATATATATTCTTGATAGAAGTAATGCTTTTATTCAAAATTAATATTATAGTTATTTCTCTGATAGTTTCAGAAATGGCTACCAAATGGGAAATAAAAATAGTAACTATGAATTTAAAGATAGAAATATAGTCAGAAAAGTGTTAATTTACTTCAGAAAGATTTAAAACAAACAATATCAGATGTTATAGGCTGAAAAATAACTTCAGCTTCTTAAACATAGAATTTTGAAGATCTTTCCTCCAAGTTCATGAGTCTGCCCCAAATGCTAGCTTGGAGGGTCCTGAAAGCCATCCATCTTTAAATTCAAAGTTCCCCAATCCTTTTGGCTTTATGGACCAGCCGAGGGGTGAGAGAGAAGGAGAGGGGATGGTACCACGCAAGGGGCCATGTGCACGCAACTCCATTTGTGTGAGGAGAGTGCAAATGTACCTGTACCTGCAAATGGAGCATACGTGTACATGCTCACCCACTGCTTGCTCAAATGGAGATTCGTGCATGCACACTCGCCCTCCACTTCCATCTCCCGATTCTGAAAGGCTCAAGACCCAGTAGTGGGCCACAGCCCGGGAGTGGCGACCCATTTTAATTTAACTTTTAACATTGAATTTTAATCAGCCTTGCCCTTTTTAAATTTTATGTATGAGGCCACTATGATTTTATGTGAAGTTCCTTTTATTAGATCTTGCCATTCCTGAAATCCTTGTAAGGATTATATTTCAATCTTACTGCATGACTCTGAGAAAAAAATAAAGCTATTTTGCAAAATTAGTGATGGTTGCTTGCTCCACACAAATAAACTTTTTATTGTTGAATATGAAGTAAACAATCGCCCTAGAATTTTAAACACTGATCAATTAAGAAGATTTTAATTTAGGAGTGTCTTCTAAACAGATTCTTGTTTGGCCCTCTAGATTTTAATCATGGAAAATGAAATAGCAAGTCCCATATTCTGCCTTATTCTTCTTAAAATCTGATGGCCAAAACCTACAATAAAGTAATTTGCAGATTTTCAAGGATGTTTGATTTCTAGCTTTTAACAATCAAAAATGATTCTTTAATCCCAATTTAGGCAGCCAAATACACAAACAATGGAATCAGTTCTCAAATTAAAACAAATTCTTAGTTTAATCATTAATTCAAGATATATATGTTCCTTTAGGCTATTTGTATATTGCCATACAGAACAGTATGACTGTAGTTGGTGTATAAACTTCACCATCAGATGGTCCATATCAGTTTAACTCACAGAAAGTCATGAGAATATCGAACATTTAAGAACAAAATAATTTGCAACTATTCTAACATTTCCAATGGTAGCTGAACATTCAAACTTATTGTAATTATTCAGCATTTCAAAATTCAGAGATGATAACATTTTACATTCAAGAAAGCTCATGGGAATTGCCATTAATCTGCATTTTTGGAAACAAGGATCAACAAAAGAGCCAGTTGCTCTAGCAGTTAAAGCACCAGTCTAGAAAGCATGAGACCACGAGTTCTATTCCTGCCTTAGCCATGAAAACCAGCTGGGTGACCTTGAGCCAGTCACTCACTTTCTCTCTTGCTACCCAACTTACCTGATAGGGTTGTTGTCGGGAAAATAAGAGAAGAAAGGTGTATTGGATATGTTCATTGCCTTGAGTTATTTGTGAAAACAAAAAAGGTATGATAAAAATAAATAAATATTTAAAAAAAACAGAAAAGGTACCATGATAGATGTCGATTCACAAGTGATTAAGGAGAATTCGGAAAAGTTTCAGCAACTAATGCAGAGAAGGGAAATAGTATGTTAATTTTTAGAATAGTAATGAAGGGAAAGTGCCTTCACATCTTGCATCAGATTGATCTGTCAGAAATATTTTGTTCTTACCAAAGATTGAAATACCAGAAGTCCGTATTTTTCTGTGTTATCATCCAGAATTACAAACAATGTATCCAGAATGTCCTGCAAGAACTGGAAAAGCATAAGGATTTTTAGTATCTTTACAGAATTTTTTACCAACCAAACAATTTCATAATTTTCTGACATTATATGTAAGAAATACATTGATTATTCTCTAATACTGAAGTACAACATTCTATAGAAAAATCAAAGCCAGATATTCTGAATATATTCTTTTAGACCTCAATTTTTTATGAGCCTTTTTATAAAGTCAAGTCCACTCAATAACAAGGGACAAATCTGAGGGGCAAAAATCCAGGTTAATCTTTTTGATAGGGTTCTCTTATGGCACTAATTAAGTATTCAAATTTTGATCTTGCTTTTTTATTATTTGTGCATTTGATAACTATCTATGGTTGTATTTATATATTTATATAATATAGGCAATCATATATACATTTTTAAAAATGAATAAGGGTTCATAACTAGACAGGATCCATAACAAGTGGAAGCATACACATGATGGTAAAACTGAGAACAGGGATTCTGACAGGAAAATGTTCAAATGGGTTTGGAAAGAACTTTCCAGACATTTGGTGTAAATTTATAATTTTAGTCCTTGAATTACGATTGCAGTTGGAACTTGGATTGTTGCCACTAAGCAATGTGGTATATGAGATGTCATGTGACTGCGTTCTTAGTAACAGCAATCCAAAAAATCCTAGTTATTGTAATCTCAGATATGCAGATCATTAAGCATTATTTGTTAGTCTTATTAACACTATATCACACATTTTCAATACCTGTGTGAAAAGTGCACCTGGAGAAGAAGTGGGGAAGGAATCTTGGCAAGAATACCATTGTTTCCCCAGGAAGAGACTGTATATTCCAGCCCAGAATAAATGACTGTGCACTTCTGAACTGTCTGGGGAAGGGAGGCAGAGTTTTTAGAATAGCCATACATAGAATCTCTCAGGGTACATCTGTTAGGTTAGAAGGTTGTAGTTTTAGTCTGGCAAAATTCTTTCTATTAAATCGACACAAATAAAAAATTGGACTAGATGTCACTGTATTGTTTTAGAGACCGGGCCTGACAATACCATGTTACTTTTTAAAAATGGGGCCGAAAAAGAAGATTTGAAATAGTTCAGGGTTCTCCATATCATTTTAGTTCATAAACTAATGAAGATAAGTTGACATATAACTTCTTACATTTGTGAATACACTGAGATTTTATTCATTGATAAATACAAATATTAATAACTTTTTGGATTTTTTCCCCCTAAAAGTGATGTTATTGTAATTAATTTGTTAATAATAGCTGAAACCAAATTCAATACCTTAACAATTTCTTCGCCACTGACTTGGCGCAGTCTTCCTAAAATATCCATTACACGATCTGGATATGCTTTCCATTTCAGAAGAGCAAGCAGGTCCACTGTATATAGTAGAAAGGAAATAATATATAAATAAGTATATAAATAATAGTACCATTATCTAAAACACTCTGAATACACTGATAGCAATTTTTATGGATTTTTATGAAGATCATTTAGTCTAGGGGAAGAACAAAATATAAAATATATTTGTTAAATAATTTAAGAAAATATTGGACACTACTTTGATTAATACTTGTAATTTCAGTTATAATGTTCTCTTGTTTTCACAGTATGTGACCCAGAAACATATTAATTAAGTGCACATCACTATTATATTTAATTTTATATTGAATAAACTGCAGTTCCTTCTATATTACATAACTAAGACATAACATCATAGCATACTAAGCCAAATTCAAAAATGCCTGTCTAAACAACTTTAATTTAATAAGTATTGTAGGAATATATCTTATGTGAAAATGCTTGATGTAATTACAGTAGGTGGCAGCATCTAGACAAGTTGGTTGATCTTGGAAAAAACCCTCAGTAGGATAGGACCCAATTTATACTTGGAAGAGAAATCAGCAGAAATTTCAGAACTATAGGCTGGGTAATTGAATTCCCAGTCCTATCAATTTTTGGTGTCAGGAAAACATATATGTCCATATAGTAGTCAAGGTCAATAGGAGAGAATCATTGCTTCTTTTTCTGTTCTGACTGTATCCAATTTGCATACTCAGGTGACCCTGATTGCACAGATGAACTTTCAGATGACCTTAATGACCTACTAAAAGACTGCAAATGACCCGTTGTCTGCAAGGGGCATAAATCCTTCTATTCCCCACCGTCCAGTCAGAGCTGAAGGAGCTTCTTGGATAAGAAGCAAGATGTCTTCAAAGAAAAACCAGAAAGCCCAGTTGTCTCTTGAAAAAAGCATCTTTGGGATAACCATGACCTGGATGACTGAGAATCTCATTTTCAAGACTACTTTTTATGAATTTGTACACTCTAAATACCCAATTCTTTGAATTTTTCTATTATTATTAAAATAATTAATTATACTTTATTTACAATTGCAATTGGGAAGTTAATCACCACAAATGACCGTTGGCTTACCTGAACGGTTGTTCTCTGGGCGCTGCAGAAGAGTCCAAGCATGGGTTAAATACAGTCTATCTGCCCTAGGACTGAGTAGATTTTTCTTTGACCATGCCTCCTTTGCCTCTTTGAGGGCAGTTTAAAAATGAAGTCTTATCCACTGTAGGACACCCTCAGGTATCTTGATCATGATGCAGAATCTTGGACACTGCGATAAACCCTGGGCAGGTTTGGACTCTCCCGCAGTGCTCAGAGAACGACTGTTCGGGTAAGCCAACGGTCATTCTCCTGTGCACTGCTTGGAGAGTCCAAGCATGAGACATACCTAAGCTATTGTGTCCCAGGGATGGAAGAACTCATGTCCAGATTGTCCGGAGCCGAGGCAACTTGCTGTAAAACACGTCTTCCAAAGGAGGCTCCGGCTGTGACAAAGGTGTCAATTTTGTAATTTCTGATGAATGCTATAGGAGACACCCACATAGCCGCTCTGCAAATGTCAATAATAGAAGCTTGGGTCGCCCAGGCTACTGTGGTAGCAGCATTCCTTGTAGAGTGTGCCGTCACTCGACCTGGCACGGTCCTGCCCTGATGCTCATAAACCATTTTTATATAGGCCTGCAGCCAAGGTCCAATGGTTGAGGAAGAGACCTTACAGCCCAATGACCCAGGCTTAAACGACACAAAGAATGACTCTGAACATCTAAAGTCCTTGGTCCTTTTAATATATATGCGCACCACTCATCGAACGTCTAGCTTGTGCCAGGAATGTTCCTTAGGATGCTCAGGTCTGGGGCAAAGGTTTGGGAGGATCACTTCCTGGGCCCTGTGAAAGTGAGTATTCACTTTTGGTATGAAGGAAGGATCGAGTTGCAGGATGACCCGGTCGTGATGGATAATACACAGTTCCTCTCTGACAGAAAGTGCTGCAATCTCTGATACCCTCCTAGCAGAAGTAATTGCTACTAAGAAGGCAGTTTTAAAGGTCAAATGCCGAAGACTGGCAGTTCGAATCGGTTCGAAAGGCGCTTCCATCAGGGCTCGCAGAACATAAGGTAAGTTCCAGGAAGGCTAACTGTGTATAGCCTGAGGGCGGATGATGTGCCTTTCAGGAAACTCCTGACCTGATGGTGTTGACTCAGGGACTGATGAGTGCCCCTAGCCAGTATAGTGGACAAAGCTGCAACCTGGCGATGGAGAGTGTTGGGCGCCAACCCTTTGTCCAACCCCTCTTGAAGGAAGTCCAGAAGTTGGGGTATGGATGCTGAAACGTTTATGATATTACATTTCTTGCACCTGATGGAGAACGTGGCCCAGATCGCATCGTATATGCGTGTTGTGGATGGTCTTCTGGATGCTTGAATGCTCTGGATGACTTTGTCAGAAAGATTTTGTTTCCTCAGGAGCTCCTCCTCAAGTGCCATATGGTTAGTTGAAGCCACTGGGGGTCTGGATGACTGATGACCCCCTGGCTGAGGGAGATCTGCTCCTGAGGAATCCTCCACGGTTTCTGGATGGATAGATCAACCAGATCCGTGTACCAGGACCTACTGGGCCAATGCGGAGCTGCCAGTATAATCTCCGCCTCCTCCGCAAGGAGTTTGGTGATTACCTGCAGAATGAGCGGTAGGGGCAGGAAAGCGTAGAGGAGGGCTGGAGGCCACTTGGATCTCAGCACATCCGTCTCCTCTGCCTGGGGCAAGTGGTAATGTGAAAAGAATCTTGGCAGTTGCATGTTGACTTTAGTTGTGAACAGGTAAATTTGTGGTTGACTGAACCACCGCACTATCCGCTGTAACAGAGCTGGATGTAGACGCCACTCAGAGTTGTCGATCGTCTGTCGGCTCAGCCAGTCTGCCCTGACATTGCTGGCCCCGGATATGTGATCTGGTCTGATTGATGCTAGGTGACATGGTGACCCAGAAGTTGGGCTGAAAACCGTCTTAGGGCGAGCCTGGCTGCTCTCAGCTCCAGTCAATTTATGCTTCGAGCTGCCTCTGTCTGCAACCATCTGCCTTGTGTCAGTTAACCTTGACAATGTGCCCCCCAGCCATAGAGACTGGCATCTGAGGTGACCATGACTCTTTTGGGTTCCTTGAATTGGCAACCTTTCTCTACTGCTGTCGACTGCCACCATCTGAGGGAGCGAATCACCTTCAATGGAAGCTGAACCTTTCTTGGCGAGTTGCTGGCCTCCGATCTCGGCATCAGCAGTAAGAACCACTGTACTTCCCTGGCATGAAGCCGTGCCCAGGGAACTATTTTTAGGCAAGATATCATGATGCCAAGAAACTGCGAGAGTTGGACAATCGGCAGGGATCTGACCCAACGGCACTGGCGGATCCTGCTCCTGAGATTGCGCAGCCGATCTGGTGACAGAAACACCTGGCACGAAACACAGTCTATTATGGTGCCAAGGTGCTGAATGTGAGTTACCAGTTCTAGATGACTTTTCTTTCGATTCACCGAAAAGCCGTAGTTCTGTAGGGCACGTATGGTGGCTTGCACATCTCTTATGGCCTGGTGACGGCTCGACGACTGATGATGTTGTCCAGGTACCATTCTAGGCGAATATGCCGGGCATGAAGGTGAGCCGCCACTGCCACCAGAAGCTTGGTGAAAGTCCTGGGCATGGACGAGAAGCCGAAGAGAAGAGCCCTGTACTGATAATGCCTCTTGTTGTAGTAAAACCGCAGGAACTTCCTGTGCGATGCATGGATGGGCACATGCAGGTAAGCTTCTTTCAGATCAATGGACGTGAGCAGGTCCCCCTGTCTTATGCAGTACAAGATGGATTGGAAGGACTGCATGTTTAAGCGCTTGTAGGTCATATGCTGATTCAGGCGCTTCAAATCCAAGATGGCCCTCCACCCCCTGAACTCTTTGGGACCAGGAAGGGAAGGGAATAGAAGCCCTTCCCCTCCTGGTCCGATGGAACTGGCTCTATGGCATTTATTTGCAGAAGGTGACAGATCTCTGCCTGCATGAGGGACCTTTTGAGGGGGTTTGGGGGAGGGGGCAATGAATAAACGTCCATGGAGGGAATGTCAGAAACTCTAGGACCAGACCTTTTCTGATGGTGTTGAAGATCCACGTATCCATGGTGATCACTCTGACAGTCACTTATCGCACCTGAACTGGCGGTTGTTGGAAGGAGCCCTGGTGTTGTTGCCTGCCCCGGGACCCAAAGGTACTCCTGTCTTGACTCCTATCGCTAGATTGATTGTAGGACCTCTGATAGGAAAAGTAGATAGAAGCCTGAGCATTCTCCTGGCCCCAAAAGGTCTTTTTCCTGAAGGAACCAGAGTCCTTCCTCTCATTCTTTTTATGAGTAGAGGGAAGGATTTTCCGTTTATCCTTTGTCTCTATCACAATTTTTTCTAAGGAATCTCTGAAGAGATGCCCCCCTTTGAATGGGGCTGAGGCCAGCTTCCACTTAGCTTTCATGTCTGCCTGCCAGTGGTGGAGCCATAGCATGCGGCATGAGGTCACATTGGAAGCCAGCGCTCTAGAGGCGAACTTCGCCACATTCAATGAGGCATCCGCGGAATATTCCACAGCTGTAATGATCTTATTGAGATCATGACGCCACCGAGATCCCTCCGAGGGAGGCTTAGATCTCAACTGACATAGCCAGAGTAAGGATGCCCTTGTGAAGAAGGAAGCAGAAGTTGATGCCTTAAGGCCCAGGTGGCCGCCTGGTGCGTCTTATGGCAGGCTCTTTTGACCCTTTTGTCCTCCGCTTTAAGACCATCTAAAAGGTCTGCCAGTAGGGCCGAGTTGGAAGTAAAGGAGACCACCGGGGCATCCACCTCTGGCAATTTCGAAATGTCCTCCATTTTAGATTCTAAGCAATATAACTTTTTGTCTCCCACATTTGGCTTGGCCAATGTTCCTGGCTGCACCCACTGGCGCTGCACAACAACCATGAACAGGTCAGGGACTGGAATGAGCTCCGGATCCGAAGCATTTTCCTTAAATAGTCCCTCTTTGGGGTCCTGGAAGTAGAGGGGACAGCTTTATCCTTAGGTTTAGCTAGCTCCGTGGAAGCCTTGGCCTTATAAAAATAGCTTTAAACAAAGACGGTTTGAAGAGGCCAGTGAAGGCAGGCTTATCGGGGGGCATATCCTCATCCTCCGATAATTCAAACTCGTCTGCTGCCTCCTCCTCCCAGGCTGACACCTCAGTTGTAACAGAGGTACCAAGAGAATCGGGGTTGCGATCCCTGTTCTCAACGAGATGGTCTTATAACTCCTCTGGCTTCCTTTTGTTGCATTGCTTCGACAACGCCCTGGGAGATGGCCTGGAAGATAACCTCCCTTATCTCAGCTGACAGGGCAGGGCCTTTGTCTTCTGCAGGCCTGGACCTGGAGGAAGCCTGAGAACTCCTCCTCAGGTAAGATGCACTGAAAGGGCTCCAACTCCTCCCTCATAAAAGAGCTGGGGAATCCAGGTACACCAGGAAAGCTGCGGGGGACCCAATTTGAGATTCCCTACCTCTTAGGGATGGTAACTGATCCTCTTGATTCAAGGGAACTTCCCCTTCCTCAGATCTGGGCGGAGGTGATCCCAGGAGAGTGTCACACTCCTGGGAGAATGTGTGGCCCAGGGGCCTTCAGATCTCCCCCTTAAGGCCTCCTGCCCTTTGGCCGCCTGTTTCTTGGGGCCCTTGCTCCCTGGGGAACTATGGGATGATTTTCTCCCAGTGCCCTTACGCCCTTTCCCCCCTTGGTTTGACCTACTGCACTTTGAAGAGGGCCCTACCAGCTCCTCCTGTTCCCCCAAATCCATGCCCACTACTGATTAATTTCAAATGAGGGTGGCTGAGTCGCGGCTTGAAGGATGAAGCTGCAGTAAGGAAGGGCACTGGGTGCTTGCCAGCTGGCTTTAAAGCGCCTGCAAATCCGCTTAATAGTTGGTGGCTGGCTGGGTGGCCAGGACACTCCAATGCCGCCCTTCTGTGACAGGAAACCTTCTGGAAGGGGAGGGAGGCCCTGCCGGCATCCCAGAGAGGACCAGGCACTCCCCGACGACGATCTGCGCCGAGATGATAAGGCACAATGCTCCGATCTCCACAATAGTCTGAGGCGAAGAAGAGTCAAGTTGCTGGTATAAAATGGCTGCCATGGCTTTGCGCTGTCAAGAGAAGGTCCTCCAATGCCTCTCAATGCCTCAATTAGTGGCTGTTAAAAAGCACGCAAAAGTGTCGCTTCCAAAATGGCCACTGTGCTTGTTGGATTGTCAGAAACGCCGCTGTGAATACCAGGCTCTTCTGAAGCTCCAGATGCTGGCAAATGGCCAGAAACGCTCAGGAATGGTCATGCCGCCCCCGCACTCACCGGCAGCCGCCGGACAAGTGGTCTCTGCTATCCCGACTGCTGCGTGCGACCAGCAACAGTTCAGATTACAGACAGTCACCTCAGCAATCCTTTAAAGTAATTAATCCTTCTGAACAGTTCTACTGAATACACTACACTAAGGGAAAAAAATAAAAAATTCTGAAATTTACTGTGAATTGCTTGGAGAGTTCCAGTCTATCTGTCAAAGGACTGAAGAGCTCCCCAAAACTAGTCCTTATGGGCGGACTGAGTTTTTAAACTGTCCTCAATGAGGCAAAGGAGGGGTGGTCAAAGAAAAATCTACTCAGTCCTAGGGCAGGTAGACTGTATTTAAGCTTCGACTCTCCAAGCAGGGCACAGGAGAAGTATATATATATTAGTTTGAAAATTCTGTTTTGTGTTTCATAACTGTTCCATACTCATAGAAACAGAAACTTTCAAGTACAGATACATGCTGCAAGTAACCTAATCAGAACTGATATATGAAAAACTTTTTCAAAGTTTTATGTAAATAAGACTATTATGCTTCATTGAAAAGGTAGACTATGAATTATGAATTGTTGGAATAAAAAAACTGCTGTACCATTCTGAGTAAGTTTGGTAGAAGACAGCTGAGTAGAGATTGAAAAAAACTCTTTGGTGCTGCGCTGAAATATCAAGCTTGAAGGGATGTTGGGACAACCATTATAATCTTCTTTGCAGCATGGAAGACCCAAGTAAAGTGCATGGTTATTGAAAGTGCTGTTTTCATCACACTGGAGACACAAGAAAATAAATTATTAAATTTGTTATATTTTATGTTGTTATGTTATATTGTTATGTGAGTCGGACTATATTGAAAAGCAACTTATTCTATTCATGTATATGTTCTGCCTACAAATGCGTACAGCCTTTATTTATTAATTACATCATTTATAAACATTTTATTTTTATGATAATCAAAAAGTTACATGTATCTGCCATTAGAATTAGCTTCCTTTTAAATATCAGAATCAGAATTAGTAATTTATCTCAGTTTTCACAAGGATTAAAATGTATCGCTGTGAGTTCAAAATGCAACATTTTTTCATTTATTTTACCTGTCAAGGATTTTAAATATCTATTCTACTACTCAAATCAAAATATTGTTCTTTGCTAAATGGAGTATTTTTTTCAGAATCTTTGTGGGATACTCTTATCCAAAAGCAGTATTCACCCAAAAATGGTGAATAAGGAACCTTTTTTCAATTTGTGTTAACATTATGCGCATATAGCTATAATATAAAACAAGAAAAAAGGAACAGAGATTTTAGTAATACTTTTCCATGATTACTAACTGCAATATTTTGACTGTTTATTTTTAAAAAGTTAAAACTGTCAACATTCTTAGATTTCTAAAACTACAAACTTTTATGTAACAGAATAACAGAGTTGGAAGGGGCCTTGAAGATCTTCTAGTGCAAACCTCTAGTGAAGCAGTGTTTATGACATTAAATATAAGCCAAAGAGGGGATATAATCATGGAAGGATCAAAATACAAAAAATGAAGAATAGTACCTTATAAACATAAAGCTCATGAATATCATCAGATAAGGTAGTGCCATCATCTCTCATTAATGGTGTAAATGCAAAGCCAAAGAGCTTCTTTTCTCCTTTATCTTTTGCTGCAAAACAAAATCAAATATTTACACACATTTTTAAAATATTAGGTCTTTAGGTTATCTGTAAGAAACAGAAAGTCAATATGCTATGGTAGTCACAATGCATATGTATGACTAAAGAAGCCAGGGTTCATATCCTTACCTAAAGCATGCAATTCCATTGATGATTCTGGACTAGTCATTCGCAACCTGACATGTCATAAAATTGCAAGAATAAAAAACTCTGCTTCCAAACACTTTTATACTTGTGTAGCTATAAGTTAGGTAAGTTCCTACGACTATTGCTGGCTGAAATAGTTGCCATAATTTACTTTGTCATATATTTTCAAATGATTTCCTGATCTACACTGGTGGGTCCTATATCTGGCTGAGGTCTCCCACAGATTCCCCCATTCCGAGGTATCAAGATTGGGTTGATGAGTGAAGCAGTCACTTGGGTATCTTGCTTAACCACCACTTTAGTCAATGACCAAGACTCTGTACCATTTATGGTGATAATACAATACAATAGCAGAGTTGGAAGGGACCTTGGAGGTCTTCTAGTCCAATTCCCTGCCTAGGCAGGAAACCCTATACCATTTCAGACAAATGGCTATCCAACATCTTCTTAAAGACTTCCA